CCATATTTTAAATATGACACATAAATGACAATCCCTACCACTCTTAGTAGAAGTTTCTATGGCCCCAACCAAAATCATGTTTTGCAATTCTACCACAAACTCTTACAACCATTAAGCTACGCTGCTCCAAAAAACAAGGTGGCAGACTTCTCAGTGGTGGGAGACCTTCAATGTAATCTGGCCGTCCTCTTCTAGAACCCTCATTCTTCCCAACAAAAGATCTCAACAAACAAAAACCTTCAAAACCTGCTTCCTCAACCGACACATGACCTATACGATATCTATCATGGCGATGCCAACATCAAGCGACGGAGAAAGACTACACCTACTACACACACACACCTTCTCAACAGTCCTATTCCAGGATTGACTTTTATCATGACAGATAAATTGGACAACACAACAATGTTCACATCATCTAAAATCGGAACCATGACCCTGGACAGACCATACTCCAATCAACATAACCTTAGACCAGCGGTTCTCAACCTGGGGTCGACGCTTCCACAGGGGTCGCCTAAGACCATTCGGAAAACACATATTTCCGATGGTCTTAGGAACCGAGACACCGCTCCTTGCCGCCGCCGCCGCCACCCTACCCGGAAGCCGTCTCCAGGTGTGGGCGGGATGACATGCCGCCCCTGTCATCTGGACACACCTCGAGATCAATCCTCGCCTGTGATTGGCCGCCGGCACTGTAGCTCAGGAGAGGCACACAGGCGGCCAATCACTGGCAAGGAGGTAGAGCTTGGAGAGGAGGAGCCGAGCGGCACTGCAAAGATCGAGCGAGTGAAGAGGAGGAGAGCGCCGGAGAAGGAAGACAGCTGACAGGTAAGTGTCGGTACCATGGGGAGGGAGGGAGCGAGCGAGCCCAGGCTGGAGCAGGGGTCTGCAAGGTAAGTATCATTGGTGTCAGTGGGAATAGTGCCCCATCATTGGTGTCACTAATACCAATAATGGGGCACTATTCCTCCCACTGACACCAACGATGGGACACTATTCCTCCCACTGACACCAACGATGGGGCACTATTCCTCCCACTGACACCAACGATGGGGCACTATTCCTCCCCCAAATGACACCAACGATGGGCACTATTCCTCCCCCACTGACACCAAGGATGGGGCACGATTTCCTCCCCCCACTGACACCAAGGATGGGGCACAATTCCCCCCCCACTGACACCAAGGATGGGGCACAATTCCTCCCCCCACTGACACCAAGGATGGGGCAGTATTCCTCCCCCCACTGACACCAAGGATGGGGCAGTATTCCTCCCCCCACTGACACCAAGGATGGGGCACTATTCCTCCCCCCACTGACACCAAGGATGGGGCACTATTCCTCCCCCCACTGACACCAAGGATGGGGCACTATTCCTCCCCCCACTGACACCAAGGATGGGGCACTATTCCTCCCCCCACTGACACCTATGATGGGGCACTATTCCTCCCCCCCACTGATACCAATGATGGGGCACTATTCCCCCCACTGACACCTATGATGGGGCACTATTCCTCCCCCCACTGACACCAATGATGGGGCACTATTCCTCCTCCCACTGACACCTATGATGGGGCACTATTCCTCCCACTGATACCAATGATGGGGCACTATTCCCCCCACTGACACCTATGATGGGGCACTATTCCTCCCCCCACTGACACCAATGATGGGGCACTATTCCTCCTCCCACTGACACCTATGATGGGGCACTATTCCTCCCACCGACACCAATGATGGGGCACTATTCCTCCCACCGATACCAATGATGGAGCACTATTCCTTCCACTGACACCAATGATGAGGCACTATTCCTCCCACTGACACCAATGATGGGGCACTATTCCTCCCACTGATACCAATGATGGGGCACTATTCCTCCCACTGACACCAACGATGGGGGGCACTATTCCTCCCACTGACACCAACGATGGGGCACTATTCCTCCCCCAAATGACACCAACGATGGGGCACTATTCCTCCCCACTGACACCAAGGATGGGGCACGATTCCTCCCCCCACTGACACCAAGGATGGGGCACAATTCCCCCCCCCCCCACGGACACCAAGGATGGGGCACAATTTCCTCCCCCCACTGACACCAAGGATGGGGCAGTATTCCTCCCCCCACTGACACCAAGGATGGGGCAGTATTCCTCCCCCCACTGACACCAAGGATGGGGCAGTATTCCTCCCCCCACTGACACCAAGGATGGGGCACTATTCCTCCCCCCACTGACACCAAGGATGGGGCACTATTCCTCCCCCCACTGACACCAAGGATGGGGCACTATTCCTCCCCCACTGACACCAAGGATGGGGCACTATTCCTCCCCCACTGACACCTATGATGGGGCACTATTCCTCCCCCCACTGACTGATACCAATGATGGGGCACTATTCCCCCCACTGACACCTATGATGGGGCACTATTCCTCCCCCCACTGACACCAATGATGGGGCACTATTCCTCCTCCCACTGACACCTATGATGGGGCACTATTCCTCCCACTGATACCAATGATGGGGCACTATTCCTCCCATTGATACCGATGATGGGACACTATTCCTCCTCCCACTGACACCTATGATGGGGCACTATTCCTCCCACCGACACCAATGATGGGGCACTATTCCTCCCACCGATACCAATGATGGAGCACTATTCCTTCCACTGACACCAATGATGAGGCACTATTCCTCCTACTGACACCAATGATGAGGCACTATTCCTCCCACTGATACCAATGATGGGGCACTATTCCTCCCACTGATACCAATGATGGGACACTATCCTCCTCCCACTGATACCAATGATGGGGCACTATTCCTCCCACTGACACCAATGATGGGGCACTATTCCTTCCACTGACACCAATGATGGGGCACTATTCCTCCCACTGACACCAATGATGGAGCACTATTCCTCCCACTGACACCAACGATGGGGCACTATTCCTCCCACTGACACCAACGATGGGGCACTATTCCTCCCCCAAATGACACCAACGATGGGGCAGTATTCCTCCCCCCACTGACACCAAGGATGGGGCAGTATTCCTCCCCCCACTGACACCAAGGATGGGGCAGTATTCCTCCCCCCACTGACACCAAGGATGGGGCACTATTCCTCCCCCCCACTGACACCAAGGATGGGGCACTATTCCTCCCCCCACTGACACCAAGGATGGGGCACTATTCCTCCCCCCACTGACACCAAGGATGGGGCACTATTCCTCCCCCCACTGACACCTATGATGGGGCACTATTCCTCCCCCCACTGATACCAATGATGGGGCACTATTCCCCCCACTGACACCTATGATGGGGCACTATTCCTCCCCCCACTGACACCAATGATGGGGCACTATTCCTCCTCCCACTGACACCTATGATGGGGCACTATTCCTCCCACTGATACCAATGATGGGGCACTATTCCTCCCATTGATACCGATGATGGGACACTATTCCTCCTCCCACTGACACCTATGATGGGGCACTATTCCTCCCACCGACACCAATGATGGGGCACTATTCCTCCCACCGATACCAATGATGGAGCACTATTCCTTCCACTGACACCAATGATGAGGCACTATTCCTCCTACTGACACCAATGATGAGGCACTATTCCTCCCACTGATACCAATGATGGGGCACTATTCCTCCCACTGATACCAATGATGGGACACTATTCCTCCCACTGATACCAATGATGGGGCACTATTCCTCCCACTGACACCAATGATGGGGCACTATTCCTTCCACTGACACCAATGATGGGGCACTATTCCTCCCACTGACACCAATGATGGAGCACTATTCCTCCCACTGACACCAATGATGGGACACTATTCCTCCCACTGACACCAATGATGGGGCACTATTCCTCCCACTGACACTGATGATGGGACACTATTCCTCCCACTGACACCATTGATGGGGCACTATTCCTCCCACTGACACCAATGACGGGGCACTATTCCTCCCACTGACACCAATGACGGGGCACTATTCCTCCCACTGATACCAATGACGAGGCACTATTCCTCCCACTGACACCAATGACGGGGCACTATTCCTCCCACTGACACCAATGACGGGGCACTATTCCTCCTACTGACACCAATGATGGGGCACTATTCCTCCCACTGACACCAATGAAGGGGGCACTATTCCTCCCACTGACACCAATGACGGGGCACTATTCCTCCCACTGATACCAATGATGGGGCACTATTCCTCCCACTGACACCAATGACGTGGCACTATTCCTCCTACTGCAAAATTACAGTTATGAAGTAGCAACGAAAATAATTTTATGGTTGGGGGTCACCACAACATGAGGAACTGTATTAAGGGGGTCGCGGCGTTAGAAAGGTTGAGAACCACTGCCTTAGACGATAATCAACGCTCTACAATCCCTCCCATCTGGAGACTGAACTCTACAGTTCTAAAGAAACCAGAAAACCAAAAACACCTGCTAGAAGCCCACAATCTCTTTTTCGATTGTAACGACACACCGGACATTTCTATAACCACCTTATGGCCTGCTTACAAAGCTTACATGAGAGGTATCCTTATACAACTAAATTCCCGAATCAACAAACAACAATCCCAACAAATTGACCAACTCCTAAATTCCATAAAAATAAATGAAGAAATGAACAAAAAAAACCCAAATGCTTCTACTTCTAAAGCCCTAACAACGGACAGGAACAAACTTCTACTACTATTACTCTACAAATATGACCTTAACCTTCAATCCCTATATAATATTAAAGATGATCCAGACACAACACAACCGACAACCACATCCATCCTTAACTTCCTAGCAACCGCTAATCACCCCCAACTCACCCCTACACAACTTGAATCTACAGTCAGGTCCATAAATATTGGGACATCGACACAATTCTAACATTTTTGGCTCTATACACCACCACAATGGATTTGAAATAAAATGAACAAGATGTGCTTTAACTGCAGACGGTCAGCTTTAAATTTCAGGGTATTTACCTCCAAATTAGGTGAACGGTGTAGGAATTACAACAGTCTGCATATGTGCCTCCCACTTGTTAAGGAACCAAAAGTAATGGGACAAAATAATAATCATAAATCAAACTTTCACTTTTTAATACTTGGTTGCAAATCCATTGCAGTCAATTACAGCCTGAAGTCTGGAACGCATAGACATCACCAGACGCTGGGCTTCATCCCTGGTGATGCTCTGCCAGGCCTCTACTGCAACTGTCTTCAGTTCCGTCTTGTTCTTGGGGCATTTTCCCTTAAGTTTTTGTCTTCAGCAAGTGAAATGCATGCTCAATCGGATTCAGGTCAGGTGACTGACTTGGCCATTACATAACATTCCACTTCTTTCCCTTAAAAAACTCTTTGGTTGCTTTTGCAGTATGCTTTGGGTCATTGTCCATCTGCACTGTGAAACAGCGTCCAATGAGTTCTGAAGCATTTGGCTGAATATGAGCAGATAATATTGCCCGAAACACATCATAATTCATCCTGCTGCTTTTGTCAGCAGTCACATCATCAATAAATACAAGAGAACCAGCTCCATTGGCAGCCATACATGCCCTCGCCATGACACTACCACCACCATGCTTCACTGATGAGGTGGTATGTTTAGGATTAGAGATGAGCGAATTATTCAAAAATTCGATTCGGCTGATTCGCCGAATTTCAGGAAGAAATTCGATTCGATGCAAATTTATTCGCTACGAAGTTAACTTATAAAAAGGGTTTCTAGGAAGGTGAGAAGAAGGAGAAGGGTGGAAGAAAAGGAGAAGGAGAAGGTGAGAGAAGGAGAAGGATGAGAAGAAGGAGAAAGGGTGAGAGTGGGGAGGAGAAGGATGGAAGAAGGAGAAGGAGAAGGATGAGAAGAAAGGAGAAGGAGAAGGTGAGAAGAAGGAGAAGGAGAGGATGAGAAAAAGGAGAAGGATGAGAAGAAGGAGAAGGTGAGAAAAAGGGAAGGAGGGAAAGGTGAGAAGGGAGAAAGGGAAGGATGGAAGTGGAGAAAGGGGAAGGATGGAAGAAGGGGAAGGAGAAGGATGAGAAGAAGGAGAAGGATGAGAAGAAGGGAGAGAAGAAGGATGAGAAGAAGGAGAAGGATGAGAAGAAGGGTGAGAAAGGGAAGGATGAGAAAAAGAAGGATGAGAAGAAAGGAGAAGGATGAAAGAAGAAGAAGGTGAGAAAAAGGAGGAAAGGGTGAGAAGAAGGAAAGGATGGAAGAAAAAGAAGGTGAGAAGAAGAAAAAGGGTGAGAAGAAGAAGAAGGATGAGAAGAGGAGAATTAAGCGGCAAAAAGTGTATCTGGGAGAGCTCCGCATTTCTTAGGCTTTTCTGACAGTTTTGTGACATTCCTTATTCAGCGGTTG